TGCCTCTCTTTTGTGACTGCTGCTACAGATCTAAAACTTGCTGAAGCATAGCAAGTGAGTATTCAGAAAGAAACCTCTGGAAGTACACAAATAAAGAACTGAGAAGTGCCTTTGACTCAGAAATAATCAAAACAGTCATTAATCAAAAGGATGATTATCAGTGTGGACACTAGCTAAATGGCCAAAATCTGTTACAAAGCTGTGAATTTCCACACCTGCATCCATTCTTTTGAGACCATTTCTGTGTATCTCATTAGTGTTAAAGTTATTTATCATTTTGCGTTGGGCATGTCAACAGCAACAATAATGTTGTCAACCCTGACACAGATATATATAGCATAGACCAAAACTGTCTCCATTATGATGCAATCATTTCTATCATTGTTCTACAATATCCTTAAAACAGAGAGTTTGTGTTCCAACTTATGGCTATTTTAGAATATATGTGGCATTTTCTATTTTTACCTGGGAGGTAGAGTCGTGGACACTGTATTTTCCTGCAAAGAGGGTGTGTTTGGAACACTCCTCCTTTGTTCAAAATCCAATTTGACTGCACAATCTGTGACCTTGAACAATCCACTTAACCTTCTGGGACTCTGTCTTCCAATCTAAAGAGGAAATATAATACTTTCCACAAAGGATTTTTGTTAGAATTAAATATGATTAGCTCATCTGCTCTTCCTTCACCACTGCCTGACTCTGAAACATAAAATGACATGGCTACCTTTTCAGGTCTACTTATTTCCATTTATTCTTGAAATTATCATATCTGTTTCTTTGGTTTTATAATGCCACCTATATATTGGTAACTGCCAATTTGGATTTTCTAACCTGCCTCTTGCTTTCTGCCCATACTTAGTAATCTAACGTGACCACTTGGGACACTAAAGGACACCTCAAATTAACGTGCCCACAAACAGCATTCTTCATCTACTGCTCCACTTGTTTTTTCCTCAGACTACAGTGCTATAAATAACATTTTTTACCATTTCCTACATTTCACTCCAAGATCCTTAAAAGATATTTAAAAATCAATAACCTTCTCTTCATCTTGGCTATTCTCAATCTAAATTAGACTAAAATCTACTCTATGCCTGACGCTCTTGCAGAAACTTGTCTTCCATACAGGATTCCCTGTAAATTTGTAGGTTATCAGTTGTATCGATTTAGTGACCTAAAACAACACAAATGTATTATCCCACAATCCTTTGGGTCAAGAGTCTAGGCACAGGTTAGCTGAGTCCCTTGCAGAGAATTTCATCAAGTTGTCACTGAACCTGTAGTCTACACAAAAGCCCAGGTTCCCAATCCAAGCACATTCAGGTTGTTGGAAGAACTCAGTATCCTGGTTGAGTTACTGAGGTGTCCGTTTTCTGTTGACTATTAGTATGGGATCACACTGGCAACTGGAGACCCCTTCCTAGACCCTTACCATATGTGGCCCGTTCCTTTGGCAACATGGAAGCTGACTTAGGGCAGCAAGAAAGTCTCCTGGTTAAGGACTCAGCTAATTAAGTCATGCCCACCCAAGGTGATCTTTTTTATTAGTTCATCATCTAGCGATGGGGACCTTATTACTAGTACAGAACCGCTCCACTTTTGCCATAAAAGTACCCAATCACATGAATAAAATCTCATTGCATTCACATGTTTTATCCACATAGGAGATGATTGCGCAAGACAGGTGTACCAGAGGCAGAAGCAATGGGAATCCTCTCAGAACTCTGTCTTGACTTTCTCCTCTGCAATTGTGAGAATCCCCATAGCAACATGGTGTATAGAAATGACAAACTTACATAGGTGTTGAAGTAGAAAACATTACTAGCTTAGTCTACTTAAGTTGGCATCCAAGTCCAAATCCCTTCTGGTAGTCTTCAAGATGACATCCAATCTGCTGGCTATTTCTTCAATTTTTATCTCATGTCACTTTAAACTCAGCACTCACAGCCACACTGGCCTCTGTTTGATGCTCAAACACTCCAACCTCATTCACACTTCAGGGCCCTACTTTTGCTATTTTATCTGTCTAGAGTGCTATTTCCCCTGTCTAGAGTGCTATTTCCCAGCCATTTACATGACCTACTCCTTGCCATTTAGATTTAATTTCAAATACACTTTTCTTAACCACACTATATAAAATGTCTTCCTCCCCTTAGCATCTTTTATTTTATTGTTGAGCTTCATTTTTTGAATCATTATATGCCTACCTACTATTGCCTGAGTGCCTCACTCCAGTGAATACTTTATGAGAACCCAGATTATATTCACCTAATCCCTGGGAATACGAAACGACCGGAAGAGTATCTGGTACCTGGTAGACACCAAAGCACAATGTTAGATAAAAGAGAATAATTCTATCAGGTTTAAATATACTTAGTATAGTTCATGATGGAAGAAATCTTTAGCTGCTTTAGCACTTACAGTTGCTGCATTGATAGGGTGTGAGAAAGTGGGACAGGCATAGCCCTTGTGAAACAAATCTAGAATATGCCATCCTTTCAATTATCATTCAAATTATTCATAGATTCATAAATGTAAAGGTTATGGTCATGCAGGACACAATTCTGTTGTGATTGTTTATATGCCTCCTGACTACTGAAGAGTAAACAAAATTAGGCTTTAAACTTCTCCAGGCTTTCATATTTCTAAAGGAACTAAAATATTGAAAAGTCCCTCTTTGGCCAAACAGATCTTAGAGGATTCTCTGCAGTGGGTGGGAGAACAATGCAGCCAGATTTTTAAAAAAGATTTATTTATTTATGCATACAAAGCTGGGATAAAGGCCAGAGGTGCAGGGGCAGTTAGAGGATTCACCAGAGGCAGAGTGGGGAGCAGAACAGACAGATTGATAAAGTACTCCTGAGGGGAGCAGCAGGTGGGTCAGAAGAGGTCTACCACGCCATGTGATCACCTCCGAGGTGGGGATCGAACTCATGCTGAAGTGTCTTTAGCTTCTCAGTGCTGCACGTTCACCTGCTGCACCACCAGGGAGAGTCCAGCAGCCAGATTTTTAAGGTATGAGCCACAAATGATGAAAAGTGAAATGGGGCCAAGGACATTGTTTTCCACCTGATTCAAGTCACATTTCTCAGTGTCTTCAGGCTGTGCAGGATGAGTCATCGACCTGTAATCCAAATCTAATGAATTGATGGGATCAAGCTTAAGTCTTTACCTCTTCATTTTATTTTTCAATTGAAAGCAACAAACTTTTTTTTTTTAAAGCAAGCAATTCTCAGTGGAAACTCATGAACATGATAAAATGTATTTGCTAGCATTTCTTATTTATCATTTGTCATTTTCTAATTGCATAAATAGGTAACTTAACCTTAATGCACTTTGAGATAGCTAAAAAAAAAAGTCATCTTCAAGTTGCTATTGATAGCTCCAGACCCAAGGAAGTTACTTTTTATAAGTTTAAAAAAAGTATAAAATGTTAGAAATCTTCCAGACCCAGGGAAGTTACTTTTTATAAGTTTAAAAAAAGTATAAAATGTTAGAAATCTGTATTTTGTTATTGTCTTAACTTCTAAGCCTTTGCATTATCTAGGAACTATCCTAAAACAGGGAAACATTGTACCACACATAAGTGTGGCTTATGTTAGGCACAAAACATTTCATTTATTTACATAATCTTTCCTAATTAAAAACATACAAGGTGTGATTAACATAAAACAAGAATTTAAAGTCTATCATTTCCATAAAGCTGTCCACATTTCATGATTTCAAACAGAAGAAAGATATTTTTGAATCACTTTCACATATTCTCTTTATTCTCTAGATATGCAATTCTGTCTTTGTGTTACTGAATCAAGAAAAAAAGTGAAAAACAACTCTTTCTCAAATTTCTTTTTTCTCCCACAGTCATACCATAGTCATAATAATATGAGAATTTTCTTGGAATTTACACTGCAACTTGAAACAATAAATGTGAGGTTACCAAAGAAACTGTACTTATATCTGACTTTTTTCCTTGAGTCTGTTTTGTGATTATGTGAGGGAAAGAGTGGAAAATAACTGGGAGAAATAAAGGGAAATTTGATGTTTCCTTAAAACTCTTAATTATCTTTGTCTAGCCAGATTTATTCCATGTGACTCAGTCCCACAGTGTTGTCTAATTCTAGGATGAAAGGGCTGCTGCCTCCTGGTAAGACGATGGCAGTTGTTTTGGGGTAGAAGAAAAGAGACAAATGACTGAGAGTCAGGATGAGGCAGATCAGAGTCCCTTCCTCGGAGCCTGGGATAACTGCTACCACTGAGAAATAATCACATACATTTGTTCCATTTAGTTAATCTTCACCTGTTGCCCAATCTGCCTTTTGGCCTTTCTTCATTCAAAGGTGGATGATTTGTGTATTGTCAAGCACACATACATGCCCATTATACCCAGTTCTTGTGCATGTAATGAATAGCAGCTACTGTACTAGTCTCTTTCACTAGCACTTTCTTAGAGAGTGAATAAAGGGAACCAAAATCATCACATGCCTATTCTTGCTTTGATAGGGAGCAGCGATAACCCAGGAGACACACATCAGGAGACAAAGAACTCAACTTTTGATACTGAACTTAGCGAGGAGCACAACTCCTATCTGCTTTCTTGGCTGGTCCTTCAGAAAAAGTGTGAACAGCAAGGGTTTCTCTGTGTTCTGCCTATGAATACGGTTTTTTTTTTTTAAACTTTACTATTATTATTATTATTTTAAGATTTATTTATTTATTCATACCGAACTGGGGTACAGGCCGGAGGTGCAGGGGGTGATAGGATTCACCAGAGAAAGAGTGGGGAGCAGAACAGGCAGATGGACAAAGTACACTGCTGAGGGGAGCAGTGGGCAGGTCAGGAAAGGTCTGCCATGCCATGTGGTCACCACCGGGGCCGGCAGGAATCGAACTCATGCGGAAGTGGCTTTAGCTTCTCATGCGGAAGTGGCTTTAGCTTCTTTGTGCTGTGCTTTAACCCGCTGCGCGGGAGGTCCTGAATATGTTTCTTTATTATCACACAGGCGCTACCCTGAATGTCGCTGCATCAACTTTGGATCGTGGTTTATGCTTTCCTTCCCAGCCGCTATTATCATTCTATTCTTGTCCTGGATTTGGCTTCAGTGGCTTTTTGTAGGATTCAAGTAAGTAAATACACCATGTTAATCAGATAAGTAACAGTGTCTCGGTTCCAAGTTCTCAGCTGCTCAGCGAATGCTCTTTCACCTTTTCCAGGAATCTCTGCATTTCTCATTCATAAAACAACATTGGCTGTGGGACAGTTAATAGAAAGCAAATCCATCATGTCCCTTTTGAGCCAAGACATATTAATAGGTCAGAAGCACATAAGGAGCTCATTAGGCAGAGGATGCAAGACAATTTGTTAAAGTGGAATTTGAAGAGTTCTCCTCTTCTCTTGGTTTACTGTGGGGATTCCCTTTGGTTCTTGAGCTACTTTAAACTGTAATATGCAGGGCTTCTTACTTCATATTAGCACCAGAATTGGTATGTCCTTGAGACAGTAAAATAAAGACACGAGAGGGTATGCTGTAGAAAGAAAATGAGCTTGGAATCAGGAGGCCAGAAACAAAACTGTCCCTCTCCCAGCCCAGATGCATGCTCCTTGTGAGTCTTGATCCTTTCTCAGACTCAGCTTCGCCAATGGTAAAATAACAGAATTTAAATGGAAGATCAGAAAAATACTTCTGATACTGTAGAAGTTGACCACATGGATGTCCAGGTAAGAATTGTTCATCAATAAAGAGCCACTAAGAGGCCTCACTGGTGGCCTATGGGGGTAAGGCTCAGCACTATACTCTCTACAGCCTAAATTAAATCTCCAGCCAGGAAGGTGACCCACAGCAGACCTCTCCTGTCTCACCTGTTGCTCCCCTCAGCAGTGTATTTCAGGACACTGTTCTGCTCCCCACTCTGTCTCTGGTGAGTACTCTCACCAACCATACCTCTGTCCTAACCCAATTCTTATGTGCAAAAAAAAGTCTGATATAGGTATTCAAGGAGAAGTTGCAACTATTACTTTGGCTAAAAGTTAAGTGGCGGTGCCTAAGTATCAATGAATTTCATGTCAAATGGCAGCCAACTTTCAAAATTACAAAGACTATTTGTTCCTCAGCAAAACCTGAAATGCTGCATGTATATCCACAAAAACAGACAACCAAACTCCCCCAAAGGGAGCAACATGCCATATAGCAAATTTTGAGGATCTTTTTCTTGAGAAACAATTCAAATTCATTCTCACTAAATAATGTCAAGAACCTGTGAATAGAAACAACAGCTTATCCACCAAGCCAGTGAGACTGAAGTTAGCTCTTTCTACTTCCTTTGAAAAGCAAAACCTTACAATCAAGGACTGTTTCATTCCTGTTTCCAAATTATCAAAAGTTAATCATGCAAGGACTGATAGTCTTCCTGCTCCATTCTTCTTCCTAGTTTTTCTCCAGAGCTGCTGCAATTTTATTTGTAGTAGGGAGATGGTACCAATTTAAAAACAAAACAAAACACAACTATTTGTCCAGATTGCGTGAGCAGCATGTGACAGTCCTCCTGGTGAGGCAAATATGTGGAATGTCACTGATTTCAGCAGGTGGGCATCAGTGGGGAGAGGCTAGCTGCATACTAAATGCCTCTTTCTGGAAATCCAAGCCTTTGGGGGTCTATTCAATTGTACAGGTAGCAATACAGGATGCGGGGTCCGGAACCCAAAAGCAACAGAGAAATTTTCTGTACACACACACACACACACACACCTGTTTTGTGGTTTGTTGTTACATATAGTGCCTTTATAAAATATGATTGCAACCATTGTCATTATTTTGAAAAGCCCACCAGGTATAAAAGAGAAATTAAGAAGATAAAGGGCAATTTCACTGAAATGTGTTCTCTATGAAAAGCAAAATCCTATGAAGTGCACTCATTAGACAAAGTCCATCCATCACAATCAGCCTATGTTTGAGCATCCAATGTTGGTTAGACACTGCACAGCTTCATGCTCCAGCTAATTTTTCAGTGTCCTTTTCAGTTCTGCCAAGGTGCTCACCTCCAGAGGTTTTAGATCGACAAACAGAAATTATCAACCACTCCCTTGGAAAGCTCCCATACATTCTGATTAGTGTGTTAGCTGTTAACACAGTTAACTCGCCCATTATAAATGACCCCAACCTACCTGGGAAGTGAAGCTCATCGATCATTGCCACCAGACACATTTAAATGGAGAGGGTGATGCATTGTCATATGCTTCATCGGTTCCTTTGTGAAGGCATTAACCTTCATTTGTAGCAAAAGCCAACTTGGCTTTTGACTTTAACTATTTATTGTCTCCAGCCAAGGTGACAAAATAGCTATTTGTACAGGGTGGGAAATAGTTTCTAAGGAGTCTCATCTTTTTAAATTCTGTTTCCTATTCTAGAAATGTTTCTCAAGGGTCCATGGGTAGCATTATATTTTATATGCTGTGTTTGTGTGTGTGTGTGTAATATTGAATCAGGTAAAATTTTGAGACTAGCACTAGTTAGCAATTTAATCAAGACTATAAAAATTTAATATTACCTCACTGATTGTAAATGCAACAACGTTCATCTAATTATTTCCGGGGGGTCAGGATATATGAAGAAAAGTGATTCTGAAGGTGTAGGATGGATGAATTAAGTATTGAGAAAACTCTGATTCTCTAAAAAGAATCACAATCTCAACAAGTCTGAACATCAGTTACAGAAAAATAAATAACACATTCTCTTTGTGTGATAACTATTCTCACGCCACCTCAGCCTTCCTGCCCTCTCCTCATAAATGTCTCTTTTTACCCTTGTGCTTTTGCAGAAGGAAATGTCCTTCCTTCCTTTCTCTTTTCATATGCTTTATTAAGGTATGAATAACATGCAAACAGCTGTAGGTAGTTAATGAACACATGCAGGTATTTAATGATGCGCATGGAGATGTTGTTGCACCCACACCACCTCAGTCTGAATGCCATAAACTTTTCCATCACCTCCAACAATATTTTCCTTTCTTTCTGCTTATTCTTTTTCTTTTGTGTTGAAAGAAAAAGGTCTTACCATATGACCTAACCCCTTAACAAATTTTTAAATATATATAATATAGTATGGTTCCCTACTGGCCCTATTTGCACTGAAAAGCTCTAAATCTTCTTCTGTGTAACTGAAGTTTGCCTTCTTTGGCCAACACCTTCCTCTTTCCTCTCCTTAAGCCCCTGGCACCCATGTATGCTCTGCTTCACTCTGTTTGACTTTTTTGATCTCCACATATAAGTAAAATCATACAATATTGATTTTTTTCCACGTCTAGCTTCTTTCACGTAGCATGCTGTCTCCAGTTCATCCATATTGCAGCATATATTATGTCATATTCCTTTTTATAACTCAAATTCCATTGCATGTTATACACATGTTAATATTCCATTGTATGTGTATTCTACTTTTTTCTTTATCCACTCGTCTCTGGATGGATGTTTGAGCTGTTTCCATGTCTTCACTGTTGTGATAGCACTGCAGTAAACATGAGAATGTAGCTATATCATTGAGATACAAATTTTTACTTCTTTGCATATATATTTTTTCAGAAGTACTTTCTATATTGACATAAAAAGAGAGTAACTGAACTATTCATAGTCATTGTAAGAGATAATCCATAAGAATCTAGGTATCTTCACATATTTCTTTCTCTAGTGGGATCTCTTATTATTTTTTAAAGATTTATTTATTTTTTAATTTATGCAGACAAGGGGTAGGGTGCAGGCGAGAGGTGCAGGGGGTAAGAGGATTCACCAGAGACAAAGTGGGGAGCAGAACAGGTAGAGCTACTGAAATGCACTGCTGTGGGGTGCAGCGGGTGGGACAGGAGATGTCTGCTGGGCCATGTGGGTCACCTCCCTGGCCCAGGATCAAACTGTGCTGCAGTGGCTGTGGATAGCTTCATAGTGCAGAAATTTAGCCCTCTGTGCCACAAGGGAGGGCCCCTAGTGGAGTCTTTTAAAATCTATGTCCAGAACTGTGCTTCACAAACACTATCAAGGACTTGAAGACCTTCAACTTCTAGTGAGTAAAATTAGTCACTAAATTTTATTTTAGGATCACTAAAATCAGAAGCTAGAAGATATAGGAACTGGAAATAAATTGGATGCTATCAGAATATAAGGGGTAAAGAAAGTTGAATAAAAATGTAATAGAGTAGAACTTAGTTCTGAGAATAGACCTTGTTTGGATTCCATCCATGCTAGTTATGTGACATCCCTAACCTAAATTACAACTCAAGTTTAGAAAAATCAAGTCAATAGTGATGAATGTGATAACCATCTCTTAAGTTTGCAAAGGTGCTGTTGAGCTGGTAAGCCAAGTGTTTGCTGAGTACACCTGTGTTTAAAGATAATGGACAAAGATGACATCTGACACTTCTCCTGTGCCCAAATAATTTAGCTCCTTCATAAAATAGGAGATAAACACACACACACACACACACAAAATCAACAATCAATGTATACACAGATACAGAAAAATATTTTACTGCAACTCCCCATCTCCACCCCCCCCATCCCCCTTGGTGTAGTGGGTTGAAGCACAGCACTCAGAAGCGAAAACCACTTCAGCATGCATTCGATGATCCCCGCCTGACCCCGGAGGTGATCCACATGGCCTTGCAGACCTCTCCTGACCCGTCCACTGCTCCCCTTATCTGCCTGTTCTGCTCCCCACTCTGTCTCTGGTAAATCTCTTCTGTCCCTGTGCCTCTGGCCTGTACCCCAGTTCTGTATGCATAAATAAATAAATAAATAAATAAATAAATAAATAAATCTTTTTGAAATATTTTAAAATGTTTAGATATATATAATATATATCAATCAGATATAGAATAAAGGGTTGGTTGAATTAGAGATATGTGGCACATTTCAAAATTTTGATAGAGCAAAGATTGTGGGAAAGGAAAAGCTCAGTTAAAGATAGCGTGGAATATAGGGCACAAGAGGATTCAAAATTGAACAAAAGTATAAAAGAAGGGAGAGGTTATTAAAAGAAAGACTGGAAGGAAGGTGAAACGCACAGCTTTCTGTCATTAGCAGAAATACTGCTATTTTACGGTGCCCTCCCAGAAAATATCTTCTATAAAGGGGAACGCCTTCACTTAATACTTTTTTCTTTTCAGTTTTAAGGAGATGTTCAAATGCGGAAAGACCAAAACTGTCAGACAAAAAGCTTGTGCTGAGGTGATTAAACAAGAATACCAAAAACTTGGGCCAATAAGGTAAGATACACACACACACACACACACACGCAGAGTGCTTTATTTCTCTAAAGGCAAATAAGCATGTGTTATCTGTAATGTATTATCACACTCCATAAGGGTCCGGAATGTGCTTGCCTTTTTGAGCATAACTCAACATGACAGATATTTGATGAGAACTTAGTTGAATAGCAAAGACCCACGGAATCTTCAAGTCCTTTGCTAACTGCACTGAAGCTGGCAAATGACTGATACATCCAGTTTTGACAATGTTAAGTGTTCGGTTACAAATTCTCCTGATGAGGGCAAATGTCTTGATAGAGGAAATAAACAAAAAAATTGGAATTTTCTCACAGGTATCAAGAAATTGTGACCTTGGTCCTCTTCATTGTAATGGCCCTCTTGTGGTTCAGCCGAGATCCTGGTTTTGTTTCCGGCTGGTCTTCCCTGTTTTCAGAGTAAGTGTTACATACTTTGTCAAGTCTGCGGAAAGACCAAAACTGTCAGGCAAAAAACTTGTGCTGAGGTGATTAAACAAGAATACCAAAAACTTGGGCCAATAAGGTTCAACTCCTAATGATTCCCATAAGTCTAAAAGATGTCCCAAGATTTTCTTTGAAAGGGTTTTTTGAATGATTTATTTATTTATGCATACAAGAACGGGGGTACAGACCAGAGGTTCAGGGGCTTGAGAATTCAGAATGGGCAGCAGGATGGGCGGATTTATTGAAACACACCTGAGAGGAGCAGGAGGTAGGTCAGGAGAGGTCTGCTGTGCTATATGGGTCACCTCCCTGGCCTGAGGTTAAACTCATGCTGCAGTGGCTGTGGATAGCTTCATAGTGCTATGCCTTAGCTCGTTGCACCACCAGGAAGGGCCTGAAAGGAAATTTTTAATTTTAATCTTTTTAGGAAAAAGAAATGAAAAATAATGATGTATAAGGGAAGGTCATTGGTGATTTATCTATACTAACCTGTGAATAAAAACCGGGCTCTTATAGAAAAGTCTAGTTACATCCTTAAAATTGTTGAAATAGAATATTCCAGAAAGTCATGTTCTGTAGAGTAAGGACTTCAGAGCCACCCTGGTTGGTTCCATGACTTCCTCTCCCACCTGCTTTGAGCAAGTCACTTAACTTGCAGCATTTTGTCTGTAACGTGGACCAATAGTGGCACTGAAAATAGTGCTTCCCTTCTCTTTCTAGAAGGTGCAATAGAAATGTCTATTATATGAGTTAAATGCCGTTCATACTTTAGTAACTTGGTATGAATTCATAATCTCTGATTTTTTTTTTGTAAACTTAATATTTTTTAAGTCTATGGAAGATTATTTATTTGGTTCAGTATATTGTCCTTTTCTCTACTTATACCATTTTTCTACTAGTTCACTACATATCTAGCCTAGATCCATTTTTGGAATAAAATTCCTGAGCAAGTAATAAGACTGAGTTTACAAACTAATGTTAGAAGTTGGGTCAGAGTCAATTTTCTCTTTCAGTATTGTAGACACCAGCAGTCCCTGTTCAGTCATGTGAAATGAGGGGGAAGATTGGAGCATACTTTTCTAAAATAAGGACCATCCTACATGTCAATGTAAATACTCTGGTTCTGAGCCGTGTGCTCCCAGTCTATCTTTCACTGCAGTAGCCTGGCTCCTAAATTCAACAGATCTCTGATTTGGATTTCCTGTCTGAAACCCTCCACCAAGAATCCATGTGTTTGAAGAAAAGAAGTCAAACCATTAAGGATAGAAGTATTCTGTTCCCATGAAATAAAGCAATTCTTCTCTCCCTGAAGTAGCACCTTCTGTTTATTTAGATAGAGCCAAAACTTTTCAAAGGAGCAAAATCTGACTCCAAATTCCTTTGTTCAAGTCGGAGTCAGTCACCAATCAATTCAGCAGTGCACTGGAGTACCATGGTTAAATGGCTGGCCTTCCTTTTGTGAGCTTCAGTTTCCTGTAAAATAAATCTCAGTTTCGGCCCTCCCTGGTGGTGCAGCGGGTTAGAGCACAGCACTGAGAATCTAAAGCCACTTCTGCATGAGTTCAATTCCTGCCTGCCCCAGAGGTGACCACATGGTGTGGCAGACCTCTCCTGACCCACCCGCTGCTCCCCTCAGCAGTGTACTTCGTCGAACTGCCTGTTCTGTTCCCCACTCTGTCTCTGGTGAAGCCTCTCACCGCCCCTTAGCCTCTGTACCCCAGTTCTGTATGCACAAATAAATAAATCTTTAAAAAAATAAATAAATAAATAAATCTCAGTTTGAGATCTCTAAACAAAATGCAGTCTCTCCATTTATGCAAGTATTATTTGACACATTGATTTTTTTTCAAGATTTATTAATTAATTAATTTGTTTGTTTGTTTGTTTATACAGAACTGGGGAACAGGCCAGAGGTTCAGGGACAGTGAGAGGATTCTCCAGAGACAGAGTGGGGCCCAGAACAGACAGATTGATGAAGTACACTGCTGAGAGGAGCAGTGGGTGAGACAGGAGAGATCAGCTGGACCATGTAGGTCACCTCTTGGACTGGGGATCAAGCTCGTACTGAAGCCTCTGTGGCCAGCTTGCAGTGTTACATCCTAACCTGCTTCAGGAAAGGAAGCAAAGGTTTGAGAGAAGAAGGGATTTGAAGCCATAAACTTAACTAACAGTTGGGTTTATATACTGCTAAAGCAAATAAAATTTTTATAATTTAAATATTTTTAATGCTGAGACAGGTAATTTAATCTGTAATAAACTCATAATAAATTAATAATAGCTTTGAAAGTCTTTGGAAAACAAATTAGTTCAGTATTGATGACTTATTTTATTTAAAGTAGTCTATAAATTATATTCATAATGTAGAGGTTTTGGTCTTTTAAATTGTCTAAAGTTAGTTGATATATAAAGATTTTATAGCTGCCACCTAAAATGTTTATTTCTATCTGTTTGAAATTGGACTGCATTCAGTCTTTCTTTTCATATAAAACAAAATCTGATTATACGGTTCCTGCAAAATTTTGGCAAAAGAGATACAAATATAACTGAAATAAAATCTATAAGGAACAATAAAATAATAAATGTTAGTTACATCGGCTAAATGATTTATACCAAGATATCTTTTAACTCAACAATGAAATTAAGAAGGTATTTAAGGAAAACAGATTGCTTCAAATGCTCGGATTGGCTAAGAAAATGCATTTCCTTGCGATTTCGATTGTTACATGAATTATAGGAGTAGAGAGCTTCTTTAGTATGTAAGCAGGCGGAGTTATAATGTAGCAAATCACATTTAGGGGGGTCCATCTCAATCTACAAAGATCCATTGATTAAATATTGCTGCTTTTTAAAATTGAATTATAATTATTTATGCCTGTTTCATTCATATCAGTCTCTAGGAACTTCTTAATTGTTGAGGCTACTGGGAACCTCTTTTTATTTGCTGGCATAGCTTGGTGATTCTAAGACCCATATATATATATTTAAAATAATATAATAGTTTATTTTTGCATCATTTTGTGCCTTTTTCCACAAAATGGAAAAAGTTGTAATCCCCATGGGCTTCTCACCACCAGTTCACCTGTGTGCCATCACCATAGTCCAGTGCTCTTCCCCCCCACCACCATTTTTTATCCCATTCCCCACTCCACCCCCATAAAATGTCTCTGTTATTTAGTTGTTCATTATTATTTTCTCCCCCGTCCTTTATACTCCTGCTGTCAGTGAAATGATCCAGTATTTTTCCTTTTCTTTTTGACTTTATTTCATTAAGCATGATCTTTTCCAGCTCTATCCATGTTGCTGCAAAAGGCATGTGTTTATCTTTTTGATTGTTGAGTAATATTCCATTGTGTATAGGTACCACATCTTTTTAATCCAATCATCTACTTTTGGGCATTTGGGTTGATTCCATGTCTTTCCTGTTGTAAATAAAGCAGCAATAAATATGGGGGTGCAGGTGTCTTTTTGAATCAGTGTCTTTGTGTCTTTTGGGTAGATATCTACGAGTGGGATTGTTGGGTCATATGGAAGCTCCATTTTTAGCAGTTTGAGAAACCTCCAAATAGTTTTCCATAGTGGTTGTACTAGTTTGCATTCCCACCAGCAGTGCAGGAAAGTTCCTTTTTCTCCACATCCTCACCAACATTTGTTGTTGCTAGTTGTTTGAAGATGTGCCATTCTCACTGGGGTGAGGTGATATCTCATTGTAGTTTTATTTGCATCTCCCTTATTACAAGTGATGTTGAATATTTTTTCATATGCTTGTTGGCCATCTGCACATCTTTGGAGAAGTGTCTTTTTAGCTCCTCTGCCCATTTTTCTATGGGGTTGTTTATTTTTTTTGAGTTTTATCAGCTCTTCGTATATCTTTGTGATCCTTTATCTCTAGTTTTGTGTGAGGAATTTTTTCCCAATAAGTGGGATATCTGTTTTTTTTATAATGTCTCTTTTGCTGTCCAGAAGCAAAAGAGTAGTCCCATATGTTTATTCTTTCCTTCACTATCGCTGCATTGGGTGCTGTATCTTCAAAGATTTTACTAAAGTGTATATCATATAATGTTTCGCCTATCTTTGCTTCCACATATTTTATAGTTTCTGTTCTTATGTCTAGAAGACCCATAAGTTTTTGAATCACTCCTAATTTGTAAAGTAATCATTTTTGAGTATCTTATAAACTACTTTTTAATTGCTTCATGTGTTATAAAACATTAAATAGGTTGATTTCATTTGACTGATATTGTGGGGTCTAATAATCATAAAAGCAGTGTTATATCTTAGAGAAACAGATAAATTCCTTTTTACAATTTATAGGAGAATTTAGGGAATTCTGGTAGTATAGGGGTCTTGCCACAGTAAAATAGTTGGGTGTTAGATGGGACTTTGCCTCATCCAACAATTTTTGGACCTTGATTCCCTGCCAATATAAAATAAAACCAGAACTGTTTATCAGGTGGGTAAGCTTTACTTAAAAGGAAAATTTGCCACATTGGTTTAGTATCTCAGCATGTGTATGCATAGCTTTGAAAAAAAGAGAGAGAACTATAGAGAAATAATGGGCACAGGCTATAGATTTTAGAGCAGGACACCTAGAAATAATCTCCTCTATCACATGTATGCTACTAGCACTTAGTTCTTGATGCCATTTTAATGTACATGTTTGTCCTTTTTCAGGTATCCTGGTTTTGCTACAGATTCAACTGTTGCCTTACTTGTAGGACTCCTATTCTTTCTTATCCCGGCTAAGAGATTGACAAAGACTACAGCAACAGGAGAAATTAGTTGAGTATTAGTTATAATTCTGAACAAATTCAGTAGAAGAGAAAAAAAATATAAAATTCCACTGGTTTCTGTTTGTGCTTAGAACAGAGGGAATGGTGTGGGATCTAGAAGGAATCTATACCCCCCTGGGAGAAAAGGTATTCACTGCTGGGGATGTCCCCAGCACTGTCTTTATGACACAGAACAAAGGAAGCAGGCTTATAGGAGTGTCTCTCTCTCTCTCACACACACACTCACACACATACCACACCAAACCACACACACCAGTACACACATACACATAGAATGTAGAATTCCTTCACATCTATGTTTCACACCAACACATCATAGGCTGGGTAGTCATATTCCTATATTGACAATATTGGAAAAGTCTTGAATTGCTTGGAAATCGTCTAATAGCATGTGGACTTTGTGTTAGTGACTGAATTTCCTTTTCCTTTTCCTTTTCCTTTTTCCACTTCAAGTAAGCTCATGCCGTAGGCAGGGCCCACCTGAGTACTTGAGTCAAGATCCATAAATGACTCATGAGTCAGACTTCTAAGACAGGATATATGTAAATAGCAAAGCATAGAAATAAAAGCTGTTTGCTCTTCCCTTGATAAGAATAGCTCAGTGTGTCTTGTGGGCAGAGCACTGAGTCCTAGAGACCCTGAGCGCTCTGACTATGGCGCCAGAGTCCTCTGGCTGGGCAGGGGCACGTGTAGTGAGGCCAGAACTTGGCTTCCCTCCCTGGCTCCTTATCTAGGAAGGCCCACAGGCAGTCTTTCCCATCCATCTCATTTTCTCTCTTCACTCTTTAGCTCCTATTCTCCTAAGAAACTCAACACTAGATTAAGAAGATGTAAATAAGGCAAAATTTGGTAAATTTTGCATGAGAGGCACAATTCAGAGGTGTTTTCATTTTAACAGGATATGTGGCCTTAATTCAAATAAGAACTAGCAAAATTTCAGTCAACTCTGAGGGTAGGTTTGGTTAGGTTTTGGGGGAAGAGATAAGGAGGAGCCTCTAGTCTCACCCTGGAGAAGTCAGCCGGTTACACCCAAATGTCAAGTGGACATAATGTGTTCATAAGTGATCTTATTTCTCAACAAACATCAGGGGAAATCTTTACCAATAATTGTTTTATGAGCATTGTAAATGGCTCCTAAGTGACTCTTACTGTTTAATCTGACTTTTGACTTATTTTAAACTGGAATCCCAATGACTCTATCAAATCATTCCTATGACATGAAAATATAATTGAATATTCAAAAAATATAGGAAAAAATAATAAGGTTGATGTTATGTGATGCTATTACAACTAATGGATATTACAAACATTTTGCAAAACAAAGACTAGTCCAATACACTGTTTTCTTCATAATAGGCAAAGACTCTAGTGGAATGAATGAATGAATAAATGAATAGCATCATAAATGACAGTGTTATAATTAACTAAGCTTATTCTAAAGTTAGGACTTTTTAAAATAATATAATCTTCCTCATAGGTCAGGTGGGAATTACTCAAAGCCTGAATATCCCTTAATAAAAAAACAATGTTGAATGTTAAAACTTCTTGTGATCTGACTACTTTAGGATAATTTTTTTTTTTAAAAAAAGCATATCATATTGTAAGCAGTATGTAATGGAAGGACTTTTGTTTTGCAGTTGCTTTTGATTATTCTCCATTGATTACTTGGAAAGAATTCCAGTCATTCATGCCCTGGGATATTGCGATTCTTGTTGGTGGAGGGTTTGCATTGGCAGAAGGCTGTGAGGTAATACTCTGAGTCTGAGATGTTTAACAATTAACTAGACTGTTCAAAAGAAGAACACAGAGACATGCACGATTTGGGCATATTCAACTTCATCCTATCATTTTAATGATGCAGATTTCAATAGCTACACAGTAAATATAACACAAAGATGAGGTGAGTACAAAGTTAAAGAATTTTACCAGGCTGCCAATATAAAATATAATTTTTATGATATCCCAGCATTTCAGAGGAAATAAAGATTCATAAAGATTACAATTTTTTTTTTTTTAGTTATTTATTTATGGGCAGATGAACTGGAGTACAGGCCAGAGGTGCAGGGGCAGTGAGAGGATTCACCAGAGTCAGAGTGGGAAGCAGATCAGGCAGATGTGCCAAAATACACTGCTGAGGGGTGCAGTGGGCAGGTCAGGAGAGGTCCGCCATGCCACATGGGTCACCTCCCTGGCCAGGGATTGAACTCGTGCTGCCCGTGGCTGAGGACAGCTTCATAATGCTGTGCTTTAACTCGTGCCACCAGTGAGGTCCTAAGATTAGAATTCATAATCCATGCAATGGTATTAGAAGACTAGATCTGTAAGAAAATAAACTTGTATAAAAACCCTATCTAGGCCCTCCCTGGTGGCACAAGAGGTTAGGATGCAGCACCACAAGCAGGCTGCTTGTGAGAGTTTGATCCCCGCCCCAGAGGTGACCCACATGTAACAGACCTCTCCTGACCCACCTGCTGCTCCCCTTAGCAGTGTCCTTCAGTCTGTCTGTCTGTTCTGCTTCCCACTCTGACTCTGGTGAATCCTCTCACTGCCCCTGCACCTCTGGCCTGAACCCAAATCTTGAAAAAAAAGTAAATACTAAAAAACAGTCCTACCTATAGTGACTCTTACCTAGTGAAGCACTCTTTCTGTGGTCTACCCTACCTTATTTCATGATGAATGTGAGTCGCTCTCACACGTTCTTCAATCTATCATGATCATAATGCTGTCAAAGAAAGAGAAAGAGAAAAGAACTAGAATCCAAAGTACTTAATACAGGCTTATTAAATGAAGTCTGGAAACAATTTCATGTGACCATGCCTAATATTGTGTTATGTCTAATTTTAGGAAGAAATAAAACCACCCAAAGGAATATACTTGACTATTTAGTATGCCTATTGCTTTGGCCTAGACTCTCCATTTAGTAGAATAAGGGAGGCTGTCTCCCTTAAAATTGCCTTGGTCACTGTAGGGTTTTTGGAAGAAAAGTATCCTTTCTAGAAAGCCCATGAAAATTCTGTATTTTTAAATTTAAAACCTCTCATTTCTGACTTTATAACCTTCTCTAAAGACTTAAAGCACATGACTGTTCCATCTCTTACTCAATGAGCATTTTCTTCTTCAATCATCAAACTAAAAAGCATGGTGAGAGAGGTGTAGTGTCCAACCTTTCATTTTCTGGGGAGTTAAATTTCTGGATTTCTCAAGACAAATAACTATCCTGTTGTCTCCTTGATCACCTACAGGGGACTGCTTTTGACCATATTGTTAATGTTTTTCTGTGGGGTTTAGATACTTGAACTCTCAGTGACAGGATTTGGTAATAAGTGAAAGCCTCGGAAATTGTCTCAATTCTGCATGTCAGTTACAATATCATTTTGGTTTGCCTCATAGGCTGCTAAAATATAACTGATCGAGATGTCAGACAAATGTGCTTTTCTACTAGCTCAGCCGTAATGAGACTTGGTTTCTCAGAATAAATAACTTCCATTCCTAAGTCTGCTAATTTAATTGTGAGGAAATCAGAATCAGCAATTCTGGCATCACTGGGAGCTTTGTTCCTCTCTCCTTCTCTGGATTTGTTTGGATGGAATCTTAGCTACTCAAATGGCTGGAAAAGCAGTGACCAGACACTAGTGTAGCAAAATCAAAGGAAATGACAAGGTGTGGACTGATCCGATACACTAGCCATCTCACTAGAGGAATTTGAGGAGCCAGGGGGTAGTGCTAGCTTGCCATGGGAATCCCAGGACATAGAGCCAGTTCCAATGGGATACCTAGAATAAACCTGCCTCAGCAATCAGACTGAAGTCATGAATTTGAAAAATACGGATGTGGACAACCATGCCCCTAGAAACTAGTTTTATAAAGATTTGAAGAAGTAGACTTTTTAAAATTTGTTCCAACTTACAATTAGTTTGGCAAATTTTCAAAAGGAAATGATAATCCTTCTAGTTAAAAACTGAGAGAACAGCTATAAAAGCATTCAGTTTATTACAATTTCCTCTTTTAAATGCCGTTTGGCTTTATTTTAACATGACTGAACTCTCCTGAGCTAATGGTAGTGATATTAGCCACTATTCTTATTAGTGAATGACTATTCCCTTTTCACACATTCCTTAATTTTTTTTCTCCTAAGTTAAGGATGGAGAAATTAATACTATTTTTCTCAGATTCTAACAAAACAACAACAAAAAGTGTCATTTATTCTGAGAGATAAAGACTGTAACAGGGACAATAACATGAAATACTGACAAAATTTAGGAAATGCAAACAGGATATTTGAGGGGTAGCTGACTTTGTATAATAGGAAAAAGGTAGAGAAAGCTAAAGTCTCCAGGCTTGCAAAAGGAAGAGCCAACATGTGATTCATCCTCATGTTTCTGGAAGAGCATAGAAATTAGATGCAGCAGATAAACTAAAAGCTGGGGGGAAACCAGGACTAAAAATAAAAGATGGTTTAAAAATTGTATAAGGAGCTGTGAACATCCCAGATGCTATCTCCAGTCTTGAATAGACAGGCTCCTGCTCTCTTTCCTCCCTGTAGAAAATTTAGATTTACTTGTAGCGAAATTGAATCAATAAGACTCAACAGCTCAGTCACCTACAGTAAAGTCTTCCTCTCAACGAGCCTTGCCCAGAAATAAAAAGCTTCAGTCATCAGGTTTACAGCCTCCCTTTTAAACATGAATGCATAGTTCTGGATCACCAGACAACTCTGATATAATAAGAACAAAATATAAAAAACAAAAGCAAAGGGAATAACAAAAAAGTAAGGCAGATGCATGAAGTAAAACTTTAAAAAGTTGTCATTGATGTCTCTGAGAAATGCTGAAATATTAAAGACATAAAACTAAAATAGAATGTTGTTTTTTAAAAATGGATAAAGAAAAAAACACTAGTATGAGAACAACATTTTTAAAATTCAAGAAGAGGTTTAGAAGATGATGCTTAAACTTGTTTAAAAAAATAGACAAAAATATGATAAATTTTGAAAAAGCGGATAAGGAAATTAGAGTAGCAATCCAAACTGACAATTAATAGGAGTTTAAGATAGAAGAAAAGGAAAGGAAATAGGAGGATATTGCTAAGACTTAATACAAGAAGTCTCCCAGAGCTAAAATCTGGAGATTCTGGAGCAGTGAGATCTCCTCCTAATGCAAAAGCAATTCATGGAGACTGTCAGAGCCTTTATCGCCACTGAATGATCCTGAAGATTTCCAGAGCGGGGAGCAATATGTGTGTGTGTGTGGGGGGGGATCTTTCCCAACAGATCTAGTCAGACATAATCAAAATCCATTATTAAAGTTTGTATATTTATATTCTGGGATGAACAGTGTCAATGTGATTTAAATGATAGATCATCTTTTCCCATCTAAAGTCAAAACAAATAAAAACATAAGTAGAAGGCCGTCCCTGGTAGTGCAGCAGGTTAAAGCACAGCTCTAAGAAGCTAAAGGCACTTCAGCATGAGTTCGATACCTGCCCCAGAGGTGACCCACATGGTGCGGCAGACCTCTCCTGATCTGCCTGCTGCTCCCCTTAGTAGTGCTCTTCGTCAGTCGGCCTGTTCTGCTCCCCACTCTGTCTCTAGTGAATCTTCTCTTAGCCCTGTACCCCAGTTCTGTATGTATACATAAATAAATATAAACTACACAAAACGTGCATGATATCTGGTATTCACTAGGCGGTATACACCAACTGGGGATGTCTTTGACCACTTTCCCTATGGGACTTTACTGCTTGTAATTGAAGCTCTAACTATCTAAACACACCTATAAATATCTAATAAGAGTTGCGAGTGTTTGTCTTTAAGGAGTACAATTTAGAAGTGGAGAAAGGTAAACCAGAAGAGCTCCTCTTTTTTTTAAAGTCCTATAGTGCCACATGATTAGTTAAAATAGTCACATATTTTAATCAGCTAAATTAAATTGCATTAAAAAATATGGGAAGACAATTCAAGCATCCTAAAGCATGTTGGTAGAGGTAAAATAAGAATAGCTGAGAACTATTCATGTCAAAGCCATCTACTATACCACAGGAAAAAAGAAAGATTAACTAATATTTAAGGTCAGTTCTCACAGCAAGTACAGCTTTTATTTATTTAAATCAGTTGATTAAAAATGAATTATTAATGAATAATGAATGCTATAAATTTGTTTTTCTAGGCCTCGGGACTATCCAAGTGGATAGCAAATCAATTATCTCCTCTAGGTTCTTTACCAGGATGGCTAATAATTCTCACATCTTCTTTGCTGGTCACATCCTTAACAGAGGTCGCCAGCAATCCCGCTACCATAACCCTCCTCCTCCCCATACTGGCTCCACTGGTAAGATTCTTGCGTATCCCACTTCACTCTTCACCAAAAGGGTAGTATGGATGTCATTTCTCTCATGCCCTCTGAAATGAAGTCATTTTTGGCTTGAATTAAGAAAGCTATTTTCCTTCTTTTGGAACAGCGCAGTCTGAAGTGAATGCTACCTTCCTTCTCCCTGGTTTGGCTGTACAGATAAGTGGGAGGGTCAGCCTATATCCTTTCCAGTGTTAAGCCTGGGGGGATCAGCATGAACTGGCAACTCTAGTCCTTAGACCACTATCACAGACCTGTCTCCCTCTGGAAGATTATTTCTGAATCTCTGAGCAGTGCCACGTAGAAGTGATTTGCACGTGAATGAAACTCAAGACTTACACTTCAGGCTTTAAGTTTAAATAGGTTAGTCACAGTTCTCCACTGCCCAGGGAAGGAATTTGAAAAGATAAGCAAGTGGATTTTCAAAAGGAGAGAGGGAAAATCTATCTTCCCACCTCCCCAGTGATAAGACATATAAGACATAGCTTTAGGTAAAAAAAAAAAAAAAAATTTAATTGGGACAGATGAGGAAAGCACTTTCAATGAAGAAGGATTGTCTTTCTGAAATTGCTGTGTTGCCAGCTCAAGGGGCATCTTCTGCTGGCACTCTTGACATGCTGCTTCGAATTAGAAAAGAAATATAGGCATTTTATATTGGTAAAACATCATTTTGGGGTTTTCAGTTTTTAACTTCTCAACATGGAGCCGTTAGAAGATAATGTGGTGAATTAAGAATGCTAGTAATTTCTTCTTCTGTGAAGATCCCAAGCACATCTTAAATTACATGTGTTTCTGGGCCCTCCCTGATGGCACAGTGGGTTAAAGCACAGCACTGAGAAGCTAAAGCCACTTCAGCATAAGTTTCATCCCCACCCAGAGCTGACCCACATGGCGTGGCAGACCTCTCCAGGCCCGCCACTGCTCCCCTTAGCAGTGTACTCCCTCAGTCAGACTGTTTTGCTCCCCATTCTTTCTCTGGTGAATCCTCTAACCACCCCTGCACCTCTGCAATGTATGCATAAATAAATAAATCCTTTAAAAAAAAGTACATGTGGCCCTCCCTGGTGGCGCAGCGGGTTAAAGCACAGCACTGAGAATCTGAAGCCACTTCCGCATGAGTTCGATTCCCGCCTGCCGCCTGCCCCGGAGGAGACCACATGGCGAGCCAGACCTCTCCTGACCCGCCCGCTGCTCCCCTCAGCAGTGTACTTCGTCAATCTGCCTGTTCTGCTCCCCACTCTGTCTCTGGTGAAGCCTCTCACCATCCCTGAGCCTCTGGCCTGTCCCCCAGTTCTGTATGAATAAATAAATAAATCTTTAAAAAAAAAAAAAAAGTACATGTGCCTCCAAGGCAATAGAGGCAATGGCATGGCATGATGGGAAGCTTTGGAGCCAGAGGGACCAGAGACCCTACCTAGTTCTCCTGATTTTCATCTGTGTATTTGGGCAAATGGCCTATCAGTTTCTTCTTCCATTATCTGGGGGTAGAGCAGACCTTTCATAAAGCAAATAGAAAGCATATTATAGTGTATATTACATTGCATAGAATACACATAAATGTTTCCATATATATTATTTGTAAACAATATATGTAAAGACTTTGCACAGCATTTACCAACGTAAAATAGTAACAACGGTTGCTATTTTATTTAGCCTCTGTAATAATTGAATATATTCTAAATGAACTGAGCTCTAATGCTTAAATGGATACCAATAATCATATAAACACAGGAAGAAGAACTTTCTAAAAATTTTCTTCAAGTTATAGCTCTATCTATTATATAATTTTATATCTGTAGGTTCCAACCTATGTCTAGGAAAGTTTAACATTTTTGTCATTTGATACTTGGACCTCAACATTTTACTGAGACTCCTTTTTATCTTTCCCAACAGGCTGAAGCTATTCAAATAAACCCTCTTTATATTTTGATACCTTCTACTCTGTGCACGTCATTTTCATTTCTCTTACCAGTAGCAAACCCACCCAATGCCATTGTGTTTTCATATGGCCATCTAAAAGTGATTGACATGGTGAGTAAGCTCAAGTTTCAGTCTACATTTCTTGTGTGGTGTCTTGGGTTATTTTTTCCTTCTACATACTAATAAGCTGGCAGTGGTTTAAGTTCTGCTATTTTAGGGTGAGCACATGACTAGAGTCTTGAGTGTTTTGTTCTTATGAGTAATAATGATAAGCAGACATGCCATTAGAATTTGCCATCATAAATACAGAGATATTGAGTGCATCAGTAATATCCCAGGAGAAGGAAAGAAGCATCAATATTTTCAACACAATGACTTAAACTTACAGATTCAGTATTCAACTTGACCTAAGTAAGAGGAAGAAATAAGGTCAATGAAATCCAGCAATCACATAGTACTATGCTTTGCTCTCAGAAATATTTATGCGAACAACATTTGCTCTGAATAAGACACTGGATTCAGTGCCTGGTTGATTAAAAGTCTTCTTTCGTCTTATTCTAATATTGGCACCTGACAGGAGAGCACAAGTAGGTGATAATGGGAAATTTAAGTGATAAAATGTGCACATTTTGCTATTCACAAAAGTGGTGGTAGTCAAGAACTACTTTGAGAATGTGATAATCTCCCTGCAATCTTGAGCTCCAACTTCCAAGTCAAACTAACCATGAATAAAACTGAAATAATTCAGTGAGCTTGCTAAGCAAACACACCTTCAGATTAAGTCCCAGCTCCATCTGCTTTACATAGATCCCTACCCTATGCCCTGCAACATAAACATTATAGTAACGCTACTATACAGAGTCATGTAATATCTTTTTGATAAATAAAATGTGAAACATAAAATAGAATATCAGCACTGTCCTAAGTATTTTACTCAAATATAAATATAGGGTGTCTGAAGAAACAAAAGGTTTGCACCATTAGGTATCCCCATTTTGCTTTGGGATGCCATGCTTCTTTATTTTTTATTTGCTTTCATTTTCTTTCTAGGACATTTAATTTTAATTGAGCAACAGTGGTTTACCACACAGTATGTGACTCAGAGGTATATGATCACATTTCCTCATATGCATGTTACTCCACCACACCCAGCACCATGGTTCCCATAGTTCTTGGCCCTGCGACTCCAAGTTTCAATATAATGATTGCAGCGATAAACAGCTGAATTCTTTGGCCAGCTGGTCTTCCTCACACAACTCAGCTCTGCCATTATGGCATGAAAACAGCCAACATAGTATGGAACAGATGAACATGGTTGTGGGCCATCAAACTTTATAGCAACTGGTCACAGGCAATAGTTTGCTGACCTCTATTATAATGGCTAGAAAGCAATTTTGCGATGATTTAATGGACAACATGATAATGTAAGAGCTAGAAAAAATGGCAGTTCTAAGAAAGATGAATAGAAGTGGCATTATTAAATCTCAATAGAGAATACTGAAAGCTAGATGGATAATAATATTGAGTAAATATGGAAGATCCAATTTTCATAGTTACCCAGTCCTCAGCTGCTGAAAATCAAAACCACAAAACTCAAACTCTAATACATAGGAATGGGCAGATCTTTTAAAGGGCCTTTTCTAAAATCAGAATGACTTTGGTATATTTCTAAAAGAAAGTTCACTGAGACTCAGCTGCCTCTGAGCTGAGGACAGATTCTCTTCTTGACAGGAGTGGAAGAATGATGTATTTTGTGCACTCAACAATTTACACTATCTATAGGATGCATGCAAATCTGGCACATGCATCTTGCAACAGCGTCCCAATTCTCCCATCATTTTTCTTTTTTGAGAGAGTGACGTTTATTACTCTTTCTTATTCAAGGTCAAAGCGGGACTTGGCATAAATATTTTGGGCGTTGCTGTGGTGATGCTTGGCATGTTCACCTGGATTGCACCCATGTTTGACCTTTACACTTACCCTTCTTGGGCACCTGCAATTAAAAATGAGACCACGCCGTGAGAATGTTCCAACTATCTTGTGGTGAGCTTTGGAGGCCATTAAGAATTCATTGCAAAATTTGATTCTGGAAAACTGATGATACCTTTAAATCACTCCTGGTGTACTGCTGCAGTTCTGGCAAATATCTGAAACCTGCCATCATAGCCCACAGTCCACATTTTCTTTGAGGAACATCTATGTGCCTTCCTCAAAAACTCCACAGTTGAAATTGTGTTCATGGACCATATGAATGCTCCTTTTTCTTAAGAGTAATTTATAGCTGGACTTTCAAAGGGCAGGTCTTATTTCATTTCATATTTGGGTTCAGTATAACATTTCAATTGTCAATATATTATTCGAGAAACTTCCATGAAGCTAGAAATCAAACATAAAATATTCACGCTAACAAGGTACTTGGATACATCATTTCTTTAGTGTCGTTCAAGGGGATTTTCAGGGAAGCAAAAGCTGTGTAGGAAAGTTTAATCTAAATGCAGTGTATACTTTCTCATTAAAAATATCTCAATCAGATTGTTTTGATATGTACATTAGTGTAAAAACTGAAATTGAACTGCTAGTACCAAAATTATAACTGAATTCATTAAACAACAGAAAACTCACAGATGAGGGTTAATTTCTTTTTGACCCTCCAGTTAAATGATGTAATTCACATCCTCCTGAACCTCAGTGCACTGAGAAATACATTTTATAGAGCGTCTTATGATTTGCACTATTAATAGTAAATTAGAAAAGAAAGGTAAAATGTTACAAAACTTTTAATATGTGTATATCTGAATAACAATATTGTTTAAGTATTTGCTAATTTCAGAAAATATAATGTCCTGTATTAAAAGAGGTTCAGAAATTTAACTGAATTATCAGTGTGTATTGAAAAAGAAAAAGGAAAACAACCTAACAAGTCCATTATGTGAACAACGAAATGAAATATGAAAGGTAAAATAAAGAATAAAAATAAGGCCATTGACATTGCTACAAAAGAGAGCTGTTAATTATTCGTGGGTAAACACAGACACAAAAAGATTTGAACCTTCAAACCAGAGTAGAAAGGGAATAGTCTCCTACCACTCCAAATGTGGAAAAGAGTAATTCTCCTGGCATTCCAAATTTAGACTAAAGGGGGAAAATGACAACCAAAAGCAAAATATGCTCACGGTTAGGAAAAAAAATAGAAAACTTAAAACACAATTTCCATGCTAAAAATAAAACTGGAGACAAGATTTGAAAACATCCTTGCTGTTTCTTAATTTTCATATCAGATTTGATATTTTTTGCAAATGACTATCTTAATTTATCTTTGAAAATTTAATCTAACAAAGAAGATTGGTTTAAAAGAAAGATTATTTCTTTTAAATATTATATACTATATAGATCATCTCTTTGTTGGTTTATTAACTAGTCAACGCAAAATTATTTTTTCAAAGAAAAATGTGTCCATTACCTTGAAATACAACATTGTTGTTTTGTGTCATTCTTTTCTGTCTATTCCATTCATTTGTTTCTTTTCCTGTCATATGTTATATATTTATTTATAATGCATGCATGATATTTATTAAATTTCTGCTTTTTTCCAGTCATTCAATTCATTGTTGCTAAATTATATTACATGATGAAGACATTTTCATTATGAAAATATGAAATGACTTTTCAAATTATGATTAAATTCTGCTCACAAGAAAATAACATACATTTCAACTTGAATTATTCTAATGAATTACTTCCAGCAACTGCTGGCTGAGTTCAGGAGAAATAAGACTTAGTCCAAATTTGTTTATGGAGCCCTATAGTTCAGTAGCATTTTCAGTAAGTGCCTCTTTACTGTCTACTCCTGCAAGTGTTTGGAGGCTTCCACTGAACTGTGTGTGTGTCTTTCACTCATCTCAGCTGCCACTGCACCTGTCAGCATCCCTAGAATTCAGACTTCTGCCTTTCAAATAGGGGTGCTGTTTGGCCTTATCTGGTATCTGAGGCTTTGTTTTCTGCCTTTCAGTTTGGGAATGTTAGCCCATATTACTGATAAGCCTTATTAGCAAAAATTGGTAAAATGTTCTCATGGCATATTAGTTGTGTGTTGACATACATACTACATATAGACATATTTTTAAAAAAGAGTTTAAGTAGGAAGATTATTCTGTTTCTGCCATGGCTAAACATTTGATAAGAACCTTGGTGATGACACTTTTGTTCCAATTTTTTTTTTTAAAGATTTATTTATTTATTCATACAGAACTGGGGTACAGGCCAGAGATGCAGAGGGTGAGAGGATTCACCAGAGACAGAGTGGGGAGCAGAACAGGCAGATCGACGAAGTACACTGCTGAGGGGAGCAGCGGGCGGGTCAGGAGAGGTCTGCCATGCCATGTGGTCACCTCCAGGGCAGGCGGGAATCGAACTCATGAGGAAGCAGCTTTAGAATCTCAGTGTTGTGCTTTAACCCGCTGCGCCACCAGGGAGGGCCTTTGTTCCAATTTTTAACTTGTTGAGTTAATGAATGACAATTACCTTTGTTTGACTTTCAGAGGGGTTTCTTGTGGGGGACGGGAGAATTGGACTGGCAGTGACAGAGTAATCTCAAACAAACTGGATCAGTCTTATTATACCAACATAATATGAAGAGGAGAAGTGTTAAAGTTGTCACTCCAAGGCAATGTTAGCCATGTATTCCCAATTGAAGAAGCACTCTCATCAAAGTAAAAAAGAAAAATTTACTAGGTGAATTCTGAAAAGCTATTTATCCATAACATAGGATACAATTGTAGAGACAAGACCAATTGATCTAGGAAAAACAGTGTAAACAGCACATTATGAGAGCAGGAAAAAAAAAAAAAAGGTTTACCAAAATTGAGAATCCTCCCTTGTCTATGAAGAGAATAGCATGGGATTTAAAAAAAAAAGAATTAAAGGGGCTTTTCTTAATGACAATATAGTGGTACAGATACTGGAGATAGAAGGGGGGAAAACTTCTTGAGAAAAGTTAAAATATAGATTACATGTGTACATTATTATGTTGGCAAGGAAACAGTAGAAAAGATTGTGCTCCAATGAGAAAGTTGATGAAATACCAACAAAACCCAAAGATTTAAATAAGTTAAAACAGACGATGGCAATTGCTAATCTCTAGAAATCCTGAAATTTTCAGTACATAGGGAACAAGGAATTGGAGCAAAGCTAGAATCCAAGCAATTTAGAGTTAAATGGAAAACTGAAAACAGTTAGATTCTCAAAGGACTGTATTCTCAATAAAAATGTGAACTAGGAAAACCCACCCTGAAGAGGACCTCAAGGGAACTTCCATGCTTTCATTTATGCACTGCGTGGAGAGGTAGAAACTCTCCCTTGAAAATTTGTGACCAGAGCCTTCCTTCCCAGCCTGGGAGCTGACCCACATGGCACAGCAGACCTCTCCTGTCTCACCTGCTGCTCCCCTCAGCAGTCTACTTCATCAATCTGTTTGTTCTGCTCCCCACTGTATCTCTGGCACCGCTGGCCTGTACCCCAGTTGTGTATGCATAAATAAAAACATCTTTAAGAAATAATAATATTACTTAAAAAAGAAAATTCAAGGCCATACAAGTAGCAAAAACAAATTAGAATCAAGTAATCTTGCACACTCTTAAATTTTAAATGAGTAGTTAAAATTCTTCCCACATAGAAAATGCCAAACCTAAATAAACGGGTAAGCAGGTTTTCAGGAACAGAATTTTAATTATATATGAACTGTTTCAGAGAATAAAAAGAAAAAAAAAACCAGTATTTTAGGGAGATTAGTATATTGTGTTACAGACAATAATGTACAGGAAAGAGAAAATATGAACTGATCTCATTCCCAATTGTTGGTTTAAAAAATAGGCATCAGCAAACCTAATGTAACTATAACAGCTCATGTATGCTATGAAAGTGTTAATTCCAAGTTGAGTTTATTATTGAAATATCCTAAACTTCATGTAGATTATTCGGCTTGTTTCAAGTTTAATGTAGAAAAATAACTTAATATAATTCACCATGTTAACAGATTGAGAAAGAAAAAAAGCACTTAATTATCCTAATATATGCAGGAAATATTCAGTGTACTACAAAATCCATTTGCAATTTTTAAAAAATGTTTTACTCACCAGTAGTTAAGGGAAACTTCCAAAGATTAACAATAACAACAAGAGATTATCAACAAAAAAGCACTACCGTTAAATAACAGACTTGATAACTATCATTTTAATATACAATATCCAGTCTATAATAAATAAGGTTAACTGCTAGGATTAGGGTTAAGATTAATGTAGTCTCTCTTTGAAGAAAAAAGCAAAAACAACTCTGTCAATACTTCCATTAAATATTTAACTAGCATTTTACATTTGGTCTTAGCCAAAAGGCCTAGAAGCTATAACTAGCATTTTAAATTATGGAGTAAAATAAGAAAAGTAAATAAAAGGCGTAAGAATTAGGATGGAAGCAAACACACTTCCTAATATTTGCATTAATAACCTTCTATATAGACAATTTATTATTTTAATAAAATGGCAACATATGAAATCAATATTACGAAATGAATTGCATTTCTATACAGTAACAATAAGAAATGGTTTAAAAATGCATGATAGGCTTTGAAAATTTAATAATGGACTCATGCATAGGAATAAATTTAGCAAATATGAACCAGAACTTTATGAGAGAAATATAAAACTTTAGAAGAGCACAAAAAGTAAATCTAAGTAAATGATGAGAAGTCCAGCATTCTCAGAAAAGGATACTCAGTATAAAGATACCAGATCACTCCAAATACATCAATTCAAATTAATCCCAGTCAAAATCCCAAATAATTTGGGCTGGTAGGTATATACTTGACAAGCTGATTTTAAAGTATTTTTGGAAGAGGAAGGATCAAGAATAGCCCAAGTGCTACTAAAAAAAAAAAATAATTTCCTTTCTCTGGAGAAAGGAACAGTCTTTTATTTTTTGTTTTTGAACAGTTTCTTACTGTTACTGTATAGAAATAGAACTCATTTCTG